CCTCCCTGGTCCCTGAGTTCCGAGCAAGAAACGAAATACTGAGACAAGTTCTTTGGCGTTTAGACCCAAATTGCAGTTTAAAAATGATTTAAGTATCCTCACAATATGGCGCCATTGCATCTGCAATTATCGACTCCGCCAAGAAGGAGTAATAGATCGGTAGTTAGCAGGTTCCTATAGCTAAATTCATCCGTTTATGTGAGTGATGCTTCAAGTTGTGGGTGCGTGAGATTCAAACAAACACCAAAAAGCATGCATCATATACTGTTATGGTAGGGCAAAGGGCATCAAATCTATGAGCCAAGTATTATGGATTCTCGGGCACTGCTTTCTTAGTGGTACTCCTGGACTAAGGGTGAGACTGGATAAGCCGGGAACAGTTCTTGGGAGGTGATAGGTTGAAGTTTCCATGGGGCTCGTAGCCCCTTGAGCCAAACTGCAACGGTGCTACATTCGCAGTATCCACAGCAATGGTCGTTAGGCCACTGACCGATTTAAGAGGTGGTATTACAGTCATAACCTACCTTATGTCATTCACATGCCAGTAGAGCAGTTTCATGTTGTTCATATACTTGAATACCATGCTCTCCTGGCATCCTTACTCGTCGGTTTTATGATGAGTGACGCGCAATTGTTTTTGAGAGTTTGTGATACCTCCTTTTAATGTCACATAAGCTTAGCATATGTTGCCTATAAATCTTACGCGTACTGCTTTGGATCCAGATGTTGATCTGGTGCGATACTCATACTGCTATATTTTTGTTTGGCTGCTTGGATGACCTAGTTACTTTTACATTTTAACGCATTCTCCATTCGCCGTACTGTGATGCAGCAATTCCCAGTCAACGGTTGGCGCTAGGCTGTGAAGCATGGATTAGTCAGTAATACTTATTTTACAAACCCTGCTGGTATACCACACATGGTCAAAAGTTAGAACTGTCTGAGCTCTACTACCTAATGGAAGGTCTTTTGAAACTAGCTCAGCAGTAAACTCTTCATTATTTATGCTTAGATCCAGAAGCGGTGGCTTGTTTAAGTCGCTGTGTCTGGTTTTTCGTTACACTTGTTTATACAAAACTGCCATATCCATGAACTCAAACAGTTTCGATTTTCAGTAATGCTCCCTGGGAGACGCTGGTGCTGTTGAAGGTATACTGAAGTCACCGCTTATAAGATCATACGAGCAAAGTTTTGAAGCAGCATAGTGGAAAGAGTTTTACTGAATCTCACCGCTGCCTGTGGAAGTGGTTGGGTGCTATAGACAAATGTATGGAGTAAGCATCACGTGTCTACTTTTGTTGCACACCGCCTACATCTACTAGCTGCAGCCGTCAAAATAAAACCTCGGGAATAAAGAGTAAACCTTATGTAGGGACCTCACATTTGAGGTAAGCTCGCCAGTAGACAGCGGCCCTGCCACAGCGAGATATACGATCGTTCAGAATAGCTAACATTTTGATGAGTTCAGCCTCGGGATTTAGTATGCTTTGGATGGCCAAATTTCAGTCACTGCTATGATGTCCCAAGTAGTTGTTTCATGTTTCTTGCATAATTTAAGAAGTTTAGAATACAATCATTGGGCTTTGGCGTAGCATGATTATACTTGTTGACGTATTAGAAGCTCTGTTCTCTGTTTTTGACCCGCACAAATAGTATCCATTTTGCTGATGTTTTTTGTAACGTGTGTATCCAAAAATACTATACCAACCGATTGTTTCCAAACCTCTCTGAACTCATGACTACTCGATCGGTTCCAAGTATCTTTCAAGAATTTGTGTTTATACTGTTTGCTAACCTGAGGTAGCGACAACGGAGTCTTGCTCATCTGTACCTGAAGACTGTCCTGCTTGATGGAATGGTCTTACCCACCCTCCTGTTGGCTAAAGTTTTATGTTCGTATGCTACGCTTAGATCGCCGTTTTATCATCTCAGGGGTTGCCAAGGTGATTTTCAAACATTGTGGCCCGGTGACCTGGGAATTTGGAGAGGCCGCCAGATGAGTAGGAGCGGAGATCCACGTTGCACTTGTCATAGATTTCTGTGGTGTACCCTTTTTAATGTCATGCTTTTTTCGTTTTTATTATCATCATACTTCACTTATGGTACATTCCTTGTACCAATACCAGTTTCTTCACCTCTTTTTGACATGAAACACCCTGGTAGGATTTCTGCTTCTGGTTTTCTGCCCATGCCCTGTTTCGAAAGATGCGCGGGCTGATAGAAGAGGTCAATAGAATATGGCATGGTTAGAAAAGATCTTCGAGGTCCCGTGCTTTACCAAATGTTATTCGCAGTAAGCGTGTTTCCCACGTGCTGAGATTTTGGGTTTTGTGGAAGAAGTTTAAGACTGGTTTGAGGAACGTTTAGTGCAAGTACGCTGTCTAACTAGGTTCATCAATTTTGCTCCCTGTCTTACCTACATTTTAACCATTCGCTAGTGGGTTCTGGGACATTTGAGCACCTTATCGGAACCTCCGCTTGATTGCGTAGTAACTGCTTCTTCTTCTGCTTGTTGTGAGCAGAAATTTGTTATGTGTTATTGCTCGGCTTATGGTATGTAAAAGATACACCACGGCTACAACGCCGTTAGCCGCGTTATCTGTATGGATCAAGTAATGTCTAGTTGAAAACGGTGTTGATTGCACCATTTGTGCATAACTCTACGGACCTTGTGAGACTCCATGAGACTTGAGAGACTGTTCAACCAGCCAGTCGTCACTGGTGCATACCACCAATGGTGTTCGTATTTTGCCGTACTGTGTAGCATTGTTTTAGTTAGCTTTCGTCTCTATAGTGGTCTTGGATTTGGTTATTTACTACACTAATATGAAACTCCAGTTCAGCGCTTTTCACTTCCAAATGCGTGACCAGTTCTTTTTGTTGTGCTGACATAACTGCCAGCATTTCACATCAAGCCTTAAGGGTTTGAATCATCCTAACTTTGATACTGTCTGTACATACATCACAGAATCTGTGAGTCTTGGTTGTTCGCAAATTTCCGGCATTGAGATAACTGATCGTTCCTGCATTCAGACAAATGGAGTGGATCTTACTAGTCAACTAGGATAAACAGTTCCTACACTAATTTTATGTAGTGTGATCGACAGCATTTAGAAGTATAAGCACACTAACAGAGGCGAAAAATCCTTCCCCGCATTCCAAAGTTATGACCGCACTGCATCAATGCAACCACAAACTTTGGCATGTTCACAGTTCCACAATATAATTGCGGTAGTACCTTGTGTTCTCTTTCATTAGTACCGCTGCGCATTGGACACATTATCTACGACTGTGTGAATGCGTCACGCAAAGGGAAGTGGACGGTGTATACTACAAACTTCGACGTATAAGTAAAGGTAGATGGCCTTTCCACTCCGATAAAAAACATAGATAACTAACTTCAAATTGACTTACGATGGTAGGATTCAAGCGGAAGACGAATAAAGATAGAAATAATGTCTACAGTGTTTTGTATTATAGGTAACTTTGTGGATTAAATGAATTCACATTATTGCAGTTAACTCACAGGTATTCACATGGGCGAACAACTATATGGTAGACATTTTACCGACACCACTAAACGTGAATTTGTTTCAGATGTACTGTTTAAAAATCTAGACAGCTGGTTGCATTTGTTTGTGGTAGTGACTGTCTCTACAGCGATATTCGTGTAAGGAATACCAGTGGTTTGTTTACTGTCAAGCAGTTGAAGTACAAAATATTACTATAATATTAGGTGTAATGGCGCTTTCCCTTTTTTACTTAATGAAATGATATCAAATACACCAATAGACGAGATCCTATATATATATATAAATGCAATTTAATAAGTGGCAAATTAAACCAGTTTGTTACCACTAGAAGTATTTCTAATTTACCTAATTCTGAAATTGTAATGCAACCCTGGAAAACAATGTACTCAGAAAAACTACGGCAAATTAGTTAACCTAAAATTGCTTATGAAAGGCGTAGTTCTGTTCCAGTTTTCTCTCCTTTATGTTATTTTTCTGCCACGTTTCACTGAAAAGGAACACGGTTCTAAAAAAGCTTTCAAGGTAGAAATCTCTCCGTAATTGTAAGATAAATTACGTGTTGCTGGGAATGAGATCATACTTATCCGATGGCAATGACTTTATTTAATACTGCAGATGTTATGAACAAGATTAATTTGTCTCGTTTGAACTGTTCGGGTAGTGGACAACACTGTTTGCTTGCCACATATTACACCTATTTTGCCGTTCACAGCACAATGAAACTACCATAACGTTAGCATCCTGCACACGCTATTTACTTTAGTAAGTCGGTTTGTAAGGTAGCAACCCATTGTTTTGTGGAGTTGCCATCGCGTTGCTGTCCAGACGCTTTATTTTCTTTTACACGATTTTGGGAAAATTGTGCTTGTTTGCTTGATACTCTCATCAAAAGCTAGCAAAATATATTGACCCTATATGCCATTTAACTTACGCCATCCCACTTTTATTTGGTTGCCCAGTAACAAATCAACACGCGGTACATTAGGGCACATATATTAGATGCCAGCAAGCGTCTTTTCTTCGTTGGCTGAAACACATGCACAACCATTGTGTAATACCAAAGGAGCAGTCATAGATTTCCTCCACCGAAAATTCTACCTCCGCCCAGAGCTGACAATCATGGAGAAAGCACACACCGAATTTGGCAACCTGGCCGCCTGCCATTAACCATCGCTGTCTTGGTTTTTGCACAAACCGTTTGTTGTGGCTGAACCAGATGAGCATCATGATCCCAGGTGCAGCAACTATTTGTGGAGAAGGCAAAAATAAGTGTAACTCTTAATCACGTATAAGTTCGGAGAGCTATTATTCTGCTTGCGTAGACATTTAGATTATTCAGTTATCTTAATTAGTGTGATATAAACGATGCGCAGTCTTACCAGCATCAAACTATATATAACAGTATTAAAACAAGAGGTACCCATGTTGTAACTTTTTACGCGTTAGGTCTCATCCTTCACCCAACAGGTGCCAAAAATATTGTCAAGCTAGACTGAATCCCATCCTGGACTCTCAGATGAGTGGTTTGGATTCAAATCAACTCAAGGAGATCGTGGGTAACTACATTGGCTCCGCACCCACTTCACAATCGTTTGCATATCCGTGGCTGCAAAAACACCGGCAGGAACTTCCCACAGCGAAGAAGACTGAAAACAACTGGAGACAGTCCAATTCCGATCAGTACAAACGGCTGTACAGTCAAGATCTGCTTTACGCATTCCGACTAAACCGTTTACTGATGCAGTCGTTAGAATTGGCGGAAACTCTGATTGAAGGTTTAACTGAAGTGAGTGTGTATTATTTATAACTAACTCTGAGGGGATTTTGATACAATTCTATGGCGAGTTCAGTACAGTAAGTTCCAAGTCAGGTGTCCCAGCACGCATGAGGAAATGCACCAGTCGACTGATTCCCTCTGGGACGAAGTATGAACTGTTTGTTTGAAATAAGTTGGAAAATTACGTGCAGATTAGCGCTCCATGAATGAGGAACTTCGTAGGATGCTACTCACAAAAAAACACCCCGTAAGTTTTGTGCCTCTTTCCAAAGATAACCAGAACTGCATATTTTTGCCTCCACATCAAATTACAATATCACTTTTACTCGCGCATATAGTTTCATTTCATTCTGTTCTGTTTTCGACTTGTTATTTCTACTGATCTTCAGCAACCTTCTAAGTATCCGTACAGGTGCTCTTTTTCAGGTTTTAAAGTGTATAACATTTTGTCTGAATGTGTCGTCTAAGTTTTAACTTTTACCGCATACTGGGGAGAAATCATTATTAGTAACCAGTGCTGACGATACGGTGAAAAACTTTAAATGACGCAAGCAATTATGGACAGACTGTTGATGTCCACAGGGCACTAATGAGTATGCACCCCATATGCTAGCTACAACAATCCAGGGACGCAACGCATCGGGGACAAATGTTCACGGACTAAGCATTCTAGTCTATCTTGCTACTGCACTGCAGGAAATTCTTACCCCAATAGTGCTGTTAATGAGGTTTTAAACCAGAGACAGAGACGGGTCGATAGTCATCGCCTAACCCTGTGAGGTTTCCCATTCATGACATTGACATAACGTTAAGTGGTATTTTTGCTGTTCATTTTGAAAAGTAGCTCATTACAATCCAGATGGCTTATTAATACTAGTCCAATATAATGGTACTATCAGTAGGATGTTTACAGATGAATATGTTCATAATGGGGTTATCAAAACGAGAGATTCCTTGGGTTTTAACTGCGGGAGGCTTGGGAAATCGATTCGGTGGTAGAGAATGTGCGGTGGCTGTCTGTCTGAGTCTAACTGCGACGAACCTACCCAAAAACCTAATAAATCCTCCTATTACTTACAAACTATTTTGTGAATTTATTCCGTGATATCCTCAGTATCGCTCCGTTGATTGACTGGATACGTCGTTTGATACAAGCAAATCTTGAGTAGCATAACACTTTCGTTCGCGCGATTTGTTTCCTAGGAAACACACGAATTGAGGCTATCAGAATTAATTTAATGGTTAGAGTGTCGTTTTGCAGAACCCTGTTTGTGAATTGGGTTCACTATCTCATGTGAACCACGGTTATGATTGCATGAAACCTCGGTCAATTTGATCTATGGAACCGTAACTGACGGAAAACACCCAATTCCCATTTGCTTTAGATACGGTCCTAGTGAGCGAATTGACCAACATTACCTTCATTGAGACTGATGGACTACAATGCACGTTGCAATTCATTCACAAAAACAGCGCTTCAAATGACCCAATCCGTCTTTGATCATTGTGCCAAAATAAGGGACTAGATGTCGTAAGTAACATCCCAAGTGTCTCGAATTCGATGCCTACTGTCTCTACCTTGTCAGAGCAAATAATATCGAAATATGTCCTGTAGTGCAGTGTGTTGTGGCCTATACCACCCATGATATGGTCTAATGGTTTTCTGAAGAAGCGAGATTGCTCAGATCCAACCAGTTTCATGACATCCGGATGAAAATAGCACGCATGAAAATGAAAGACATCACCCATCTATTGCACATACCATCTTTACCTACTGTTTTAACCACCGTCGCTTGATTAAAGACGTACTCTTTTGTAATTTTACAACCTTTATATAATGAATAAATCGTTTAAACCGCAAAAGCCTAATTTTGTGCGTTATGTCCATCATAGCAAGATTTGATGCATCATCCTCGGTCTAATATACAAGCCAAAGACATGTCGTAGTATAACCGTAATGGACGCATGTTTTAAGCACTGTCGCTTGCATTGAAACCCGTCACATTTGTATAAGACAATCAGTTAATTTGAACACATCCATCTGGTTTGCATAATTCTCTAAACGAACTGCCCGCTATTGTCTTCAAATGGTTTGGATAAACCACACGATATGTTTGCTTTTTATTCGGCAGAATAAGTGTAAATTAACACCTGGTGCAAACCGATTCGTCGTATTACCAAGAATAAATAGTGCTTTTCAAGTGATCGAAAAGCCTTCTTGGGATACAAACAGATTATTTTAAATGGCCGGGCATGTTCTTGTATGAGTAATGTAAGAATTCAGGAATGTTCGTGCGGCTAACACAGGTTCCATGGTTGCTGGCTTTTTGTGCACATATTTTTCAAACAGGTTATCTACTGTTCAGTCACTGGTATAGAATTCGCTTTCCAAGGGAAACGATCCTTTTTGAGTTCTAGTCGAGATTAGCATCAAATCGAGTACAGTAGCGAGCAATGAAAGTATACTATTCCACAGCAGCGGATAATTAATGAGGACGCAATCAGATCAAATGAATCGCGTCTTTCCTGCAGTTAGAGAAAAAGTTGTGACGAAGCTTCTAAGTAAATATTATGTAACAATTCTCATATGCCTAGCTCGGACCAGTTATTCGGACATATCCGTTCTTGTCGGGGGATCAATAATTGAGCCTGCTGACTAGAAGTGCACCACAAAGTGACAGCAGTTTTCAAGTTAGTTGAACAAGGAAGGAATGCCAGCCACAGCCGATTGCTGACCTGCCAAGGTATTGGGACGGAACCACAGAATTTAGAGAAACGTGAGTAGGGTGCAAATGGTTTGGAAACTTTTCCAATTATTGGTAGTCATCCATTTGTATGCTTCGTGTCTTGGATTCGCAATCGACTACAAAACACTTCAAGTTATGAGATAGTGTAGTTTTAGAAACTAGATGGTTACGCCACGGTGAACGGTGATGCGGCCGAGTCGGATAATACATCACGGTGTTGCCTAATAAGGGAAATAACCGATGATTGGATTAGAGGTTGGAATTTTATTTGACAAAACTAATATATAAACTAAAATAACCAATTAATCGAAGTATTTTAAGTTGAATGAATCTTAGCAAATAAGTATCTGTCGTAAGGTCAACACAAGTATGTCGAATTAAATGGAGTTCAAGCCACAACGAGTTCGATAATGCCATTGTGGGGAAATTGCTTAAATACTTGCCAGGAGTGGCGTAAGTTGCTGCTTTATTTCAAAGCGAGAGAACATGGTGGTGTATTAGCTATTAGAATCAAAAATGTACGAATGCATTTTTCAACTTAACATCTTCATATCAGGGGAACTCGTACACAAGATGCCGGCTGTTGTGCCAGATTTCTATGCGTTAAAATTATTTTTAAAATTTGAATCAGTGGTTTAAATTTTACGTCCACACTGAAATCAGCTGTCGCTTATTTTAAAGGTATAACAAGATCGATTAATTTGGTTTACCGGATATGATGATGGATGAGAGCCAGTGTTTTGACGTTGGTCGATGCACTGCTATGCTCACTGTATAACAGCAGTGTTCAATTTCTTGGTTGACAATGAATTGTTTAATAACAGTCCAGTAACTGGGATACGTTAAAAGTTTGTTCTGTAGTTTTGGAAGCAAGATTGAATCATGAGAAAGTAATTGGATAATCTTCGATAGGTCCAAGTACAGTATAAGGCCACTGCCGTGCCAACAGTTTTATTGCAGGTTCTCAATAAATTAGCTTTGGGATATTCTCAGCAATCTAGCCAAAATACATTTTATAAAAAAGCAGTTTTGATCAAAGGATCAATCGACTATCTGAAAACTTAATTTGTCCAATCGGCCGTGTTGTTTCATACGTAAGAACATTTTGGTGCCTAGGAAATGATTTTTTATTTTAGCTGCGTGTAAAAGGCGTATATTTTTGCTTACTTTGATGTACTGAATCAGCTGCAAATTGGTTAGCTTTTGTAGCTATCATAATGTTAGTATTAAGTGGACAATTCATTACCTCAGTGGCTGCTGGTCAGTGGTATACTTCATGTTGAGAGATAGAGGTGTTACATGTCCCGCTGCCATGCTGAGATGTAGATTTTATCAAAAAGGATAACAAGCAAATAACTGTTAGCTAGTTGATTAGTAATTCGCCTGAAACCATTGTTCGAACTAGGTTAGAGGAAAGCAACTATGCTGTTGCCTTTGTCTTTCCTAGTAGGACATGTGAACTTTGGCTTTTTACTTTACAAATGATGGAGCGTCTTCATGTTTTCCATTGGAAAACCAAGTCCATAACAAGAATACTATAACTAGCAGCGTCGTCAATAAAAATGCTTGGATGTAAGTAAAAAGGAAAGACTCCAACTTGGGGTCGTATGCAACTTAATTCCGAGGTGTGCTAAATTAATACATATTATGATTGTAATAGATTTTACATAGTCTGAATGTTTACGTTGTCTAATTTCTGTAGCCACAAATCCTAGTATTTCACCAATGTACTGCAATTATGCTTGGAGTATATACCGAATGTTCCTACGTGCTTGCTTTTCGTAAATAGTTTAGAGGTACATACTACTTGTATTTCTTGAGTTCTGCAGAACATTTGGTAGGGTGAAGTAACCACAACATTAAAGAACAAACAGTTTGTAAATGTAATTTACAGGAACTGACCAATAAGTGCACCGTATTTATTACAATTCATGTCATACATTAAGTATTTTTTATTGTTGCTATCAAGCACGCGGTGATAGTTCTTGCTGTAGCAGTAGACCAATAACTGAAAGGGTTCGGATCTGTGTGCAGCTTTTACTTAAGGGGCAAACAAAATATGCTCTTCGCTTTAATGGGCCCAGCATGTAGTACACTTTGCATCGGTTTAATATAGTAGCTTCAATCCAGGCCTAAATATTGATAACAGCCTATAGGCTAAACAACTAACCAATCCAACACCGCGGAATAAGCTCTGAATGGCCTGACGTTGCATAATTTTGAAAAGCCTAGAATAAAACCAGCCATGTATAGATCCGTTTT